GGGGGGGGAGGAATCAAGTAGAGAATTACTTTTGTTTTTTCTTTAACCACTGCCTACCTCGAAATGACTCAGAATCTCCTTATCCACGCCAGAGCTCACACAAAAAATAAATAATATTTTTCAGGGGCGATACCCCTGGCATCATGTCGCCGCCCTTTGCCTTTGCTCCTTTTTAGATCTGCCAAATGTGTGACGTAGCTGGTTGTCGCGACAGGGGGCTGCGTGTCTACGCCCCTGCACACGCGAGGCGACGCCGCTGCTGCATGCCCGCCCCAACCGCTCGCCCCCCAAAAGAACGCCGCTGTGAGAGGAGTTGCGCGCACGTTCCACAACAGGTACCGGTAAAAAAGCGAAACGAAATGGCAAAAAACACAGAGGGGGAAACCTCTTCACGGCGCGCAGGCAGGGGTCCCTCTTCAGCCAATGAGAGCGCCTATCATCAAAGCAAAGGGTTGGGGTTATTTTTCCTTTCGTAGTTGGGGCGAATGACGTTTTTTTTTCACACTTTTTTTGTTCACCCCCCTCCCCTCATTACATTACGTGGTACTCTGTCATTGCAGCTGGCATGGTGAAAGTTAATGCGGAAACTCATAACACTAATATTATTTCGAACGCAAATAATTTTTGTTTCCTAAAGGACAGAAAAAAAAATTAAAAGCTTTTGCCTTTTGATAAAGAGATTGGGAAGGTTGGCCTCGAGTGTCAGAACATTAGATTCGAAATTGGCATATTTAAGTTCGATTTCCGTCGGTTGCGGAAAATTGGGTTGATATACTAGTACCTTGTCTAGAAGAATGATCCGACCTCTCCAGCAGACAGTTCACTGTAATAACACAGGTATACTGACGGCAAGCTGTTCGACTGTCCCAAGCCCAGGATTTAGCAGAAAGAAAAAAATTACAAGAAAAGAAAACCCCGTTACATTGTCTAGAAAAGTAATCGAGTTATATAATTTTCTCGGGAATTCCCCCCCCCCACCCCCCACACACACACCATTTGGAATCCGAATTTCAGGAAAATAGTTTGTGGGAACATGGAACTGATACCATAGAATATTCTTCTTTTGCTCCGGTGGATTTGTCATCCGTTGGGTCGCCTCTGACAGATGACAACGATCAGCTCTCTGCTTTCCTCAGTGTGTCCCGCAGATCCATGGCTGTCTACTCTCGGATGTTATCCTTCCATCTCTTCTTCTGTCTGCCTCTCCTTCATCCTCCCTGCATAGTGCCTTGTAGAATAGTTTTAGCAAGGCCACCCTAATATCAAGAAACAGCAGTTTCAAATACATGAACAGCAAAATGTTGGACTTAGTTCATGTGGAAAGCTGGCCGGTGATAGGCATCTTCGTTGTAGAATCAGAAACTCACCAAGTCCTTAGACGTTTTAATTCCAAGGTCTCTGGAAGTCAAACGACACCAAATGAATTAACCTTAACCTAAAGATATTATATTATGTACCTGACTCTGTAGCGAGAGAGTAAGTAAGTAATTAAACCCCTTCACTGTCAGGCCCGAGAACTGAGTGCTGAGGCAAGTCTTCCAGCAAAATAGCATTCTTGCGTTTCTTAAATCTTAGTTTATAGAGATAAAAATAATTCGTTGTGAGCTAAATTTTCGTTTGATTTTTGGAGTTTGGTATCACAGTGGTCCCCTCTCCACCGACGGCCCAGTAACCGTCAACACTCAACAGAACAACGAAATGGACAGTGAACTGATCTCGCAGAGACGACCTTTGTATTTACAAAACTTTGCCCTCCCCAGCAGACACTCAAACTGTTTTTTCCCCTCAGCCACCCGAACTTGCTGGGTTAAGTCAAGAAAACCTAATGACCTACCTTTAGTGATGAAAAAAAAGACACCTAAAATTTCAGAAATAAAACCAGTAAATATAAAGCAGACCAGATGCGTTCATATTATTGCGTAGATTGTCTTCTATTAACATGTGCTAGGTTACGTCACAAAAAGTTGTCTTTTAGAATTCAGCTACCGTGATTACACATGGCGCATGCAAATGAACAAAACTCATAAAAATGAACAATTTGTTCTAACTTAAAGTGCTCATTGTGAGCACAGCAGTAGCAGTACCATAGCCAATGACATATTAACTGAGGTGGTGGAGGCGGAACTGTCAACTGCGCAATGGGGGGAGTTACCGGTGGAATGAGGAGTTAATAATGTGAGGGGGCGGGCCTGTGGGGTGAGGGTTTGGGGTATGGAGTATAACATGGGAGCTCGCATATTCGTATTGTCAAACCAATGAAGGACTTACACTACCCGCTAAATAAATTTCTGTATAATCTGACTCTGGCGTATTAAAAATACATGTACGTTAAGAATCGCCCGAAATACGGACACTCAAAGCACACGGAGGAGACGTGAGCCCTACGTTGCCGTAGTGCGAAGGAGTTAAAAACAAAGATGCTTTAGTCCTCAATTGGCAATTGTCAACTGAGAGCATGCAAACACCTATAGTAAGAAATGCATTACCGATCTATGTGATGAAATAGTTATTATAGATACACATTGTTTTTGCAGGCATGGGGAATGATTTCGCGTTCCCAGCTGGGAAGTCGTAGTATATTCAATATCCTCTATCTTTCTGCTTGGATGCTGTGTTTCAATCGGCTCAGGTTGGAGCTGTCAATGAAACAGACTGACTCCTAAATGTAAATTGTACCAATGCTAGAGTAAACCATAAACACACACAACACACACATTAGAAATTTACCAAATTTGTTATTTTCGTGTGTTGTCTCCGCCTTCTTTTCTTTTTTCTTCTTTACTCTTACCTCATCACCTTTGGAAGACGCTGAGTGGTTGGAGGGTGCTCTTGGTAGGTCCTACTAGTGTTTTCTTTATTTTTGTTCTTTCTGTCCGACTGTCCGGCTCTTTCCCTGCAGAAAATGAACGTTTCTGGGCCGTTGCTCTTCCGCCCCCTTCCCAAACTAGAAAGAACCCTCAGAAAAACTCGTGAAAATCCTTCTCAAGAATCCACTCTTTATCTATATTATTGTAGCACGGGGTTCTAATCTTCCAAAGAAAACAGAGCAATCAACAAACACACACAAAAGAACTTGTAATACTTCCTGAAGGCTATACAAATATGTACTACGTCCTTTTTCCTCCCGTTTCTATGCTGAACATACACATTTCTCTGGTGTAAGATGACTTCTACTTTTGTCGCACTAGCAACGTTGTTACACTTTTTTGGGTTTTTTTTTTAGAGCGTTCTTTTCCGCACCGGCGTCTGTGGTGTAGCGGTTAGGTGCTTTGTCGTCACACTCAGAAGACATGAGTTCGATTCCTAAGCAGGGCGAATTTTCATCGAGTACATATCTCTCTCTCTCTCTGTCTGATGAAAAGTTATGGGTGTCAAGGTATATTGCCTTCCACTCACTCCCGATTGGCCCAGACAGCAGTTTTGGTTTCGTCTTAAGACTTGGACACACCTGCGCCTGTGGTGTAAGGGTTAGACTCCTCGCCGTCACGCGCGGGAGGCCCGAGTTCGATTCTCGCGTGTTGAGAATTTTAAAATTGAGAACTCGGTCTTTCTACAGCGACCTTGTGTTCCTCTCAGCCCGGGTTGACCCTGACAGGCAGGGTTGAACCCTGCCTCCTAACTGATCTAAATTGTGTCGATGGGGACAAAAACACTGACAAATCAATAGAACTGAAAGATGTTGAGAAGTCGTACCATTGATCAACCCCGTGGTTAGAGAAATGTTCTGGTTGGTCTTACTTTTTCCACTTTCCTGCAGTTTTTTTTCTCTTTTTATCAAACGAGCTTTTCCCCAGTTCTATTCAACTGTTTGTCTTTGTCCGGAGACGATGTGCTTCTCTTTACTCCATCTAACGAAGAACTAGACTAAAACAACTACCGAAAGCAACACTATAAGCATAGTCAGTCGAACCTGCTTGAGCAGTCACCTTTACAAACGACAACTTCCCGCTGTCCCCCTTTAAAAAATTAAGACGCTGTCAAGATGTTCATATGTCAGAGACAATTACTTTTCTCGTCAAGAATGAGAGAGACCATCTTGGACGATTTTCACGGTGTTTGGGCATATTATTCAAGCACAGACCATCCCGGCTCAGCACATCCTAGAGTCCTACAATGAACGGCATCTGACGTTTCACTATCCCCAACTACCCATAATAAAACAACGTCTTGCGAAAGCCCCACAACCATTGTGGGAAAAAGAAACCGGCGCCGCCATTTCGGCGGTCCTCGGGGGCGGTCGGAGTCGTCCGTTGTGTCGCGAGCGCTCGGTGAGAGAAAATATCGCATTAATCTTTTTTCCTTCTTGGAGCGTCGGAGAGGTTTCGGTTTTACTGTGCCAGATGTAGGGGGATATATAGCACAACGGATCGTCGTTCCCGCTCGCTTGCCTGATTCCGCGAGCGACGTCGTTTTCTCGCGGCTTGGATTAACTAACAGAACCGTTCTCTAAGTTTGGTTCGTCCACACAGCGGTGTTTCTGTCCATGGACTCGAAGTAAATAAGTTACCCTGAAAAACTTCAGTACACAGGTAAGCCGATTAAAGTCATAATAAGTCTTCCAGTTGCTTGAAACTCTTTATCTTTTCAGACAAGAAGTGGATGGAAATAACAACATTCACAGAACAGAATCAAAAGGTGGAATAAGCTTACAGTGGGATAAATATCTGTTATCTTTTTATTTTCCATTAAGTTAGGCGAGAATGAATGCTTTTCTATTCAAGTTATTGTCGGTGTAGGACTTATCAATTGCTGTGTCGGGAGATTTATTTTTCCGTAAATTGTATTCTTTTCATCGTCACGGCTTGTTGTTTTTGACAAGCAACATGGGCCCAAAGATCAAGTTCCTCTTGTGGCGGAGTACAGACTGCGTCTTTGACAGAAGAGATTTTGTTGAAAAAATCCGCCCCTTTCTTAACGGCTATTGAGATTCAGTTCGTAGACACAATTAGCCAACGTATGGAAGTTGTAGGTGCGAATCCCGAATGAGGTAGAGCGGTTTTCCTTGCCTGTTCCTTCTTCTAATTTTTTTTATCCGAGACCAAGTACTCTTTTTTTAAAATAGCCTAGATAATAACCAACAAAACAAAAAACAAAAACAAAACAAAAATAAACAACAACAACAACAAAAAGCAAACAAACAAAACACAACAAAACAAGCCCATCTTACCCAAAAAAATCTCTGGTAGATTCTAACATTTTAAAAATAATCCCCCCCCCCCCAAACCAAACTAAACAAAGCGAAAACCGGGTTCAAAATAAATCGCATCAGAATGGACCTTAAATGTCACCTCCCAAATAAATCTACCTTTACGGCTACCTCTTTTCAGTCTCCGTCTACCCCGCTGATACATGTACGCCATTTCTTTACCCAACGTCTAATTGACCGAGCCTTTTTCAAGATGGTTTAGATTTGCGAAAATCTGTATGCACTAATTTGACACGTGAATATTTTAACAACCTGGTTCAACAACATTGTTGAACTTAACAACACTCCTGTCCTTTATTAAGATATCAGTTGGGCTTGTTCTTTACATACGGCTGCAGAAATTTTTTACGTTAATTCGTTTTCTTTCACGTTCGGGTTACCTTCCGAAAGGCACGAGATAATTTCGACATGGTTTCAATTGTCGTGTTTTTATATCTCTTTCGATCTCTCCTTTAATTTCCGTACCTTTAATAATATGTTTTGGGATTGACCTCTTCTATAGCGGAACGGCCCGAAAACACACGTTGACATGCTAAACTCGCTTTGCTATTCACTAAATAATATAATTGACCTGCAAGCCTTTTGGTGTACGTTGTGAGTTTTGTGTCAAGTATGCAGTTAAGTATAATCTTTATTCATGGCGGTTTTTTCAGGGGGGTTCATTCTGTAGCCTACTGGGAACTCGCTTTCTATTGTCGGGGACTTTGGGGTGCCTGTCAAAATTGTCGCCGCTGAACTTCCCGCCTACGAGTTCGTCTGTTATCCAGATTTTGCCCAGCACTGAATCTATTTATTCAAAAAAAAAAAAAAATAAAAATGTATACACGCCTGCTTTTTTGTCTTTCTATTCTAAAGTTTTTGTAATTCCTCGGGTTTTATCTGGAGAATGGAGAATAATGTATTAATTAAATGGATCCGTGCACAGTGTGCTTGTCACAAACACACACAAACACACACATACACACACACACAAACACACACACACATATCTATCTGTCTATCTATCTATCTATCTATCTATCTATCTATCTATCTATCTATCTATCTATCT